TTATTGTTATTATTATTATTATTATTATTATTATTATTATTATTATTATTATTATTATTGTTATTATTAATTATTATTATTATTAATTATTATTATTATTATTATTGTTATTGTCATTACTATTAATTATTAGTACCAATCAATTGTTGATTGTTTTTATTAAATTATTGTTACTATTGTTCTTGTTATTATTTTCTGTTGTTATTACTAATTGTTATCATTATTATTATTATTACTAATTATTGCTACTATTATTATCATTTATTGTTATTATTATTATTATTATCATTATTATTATCATTATTGTCATTACTATTAACTATTAATTATTAATTATTATTACCAATTAATTGTTGATTGTTTTTATTAAATCATTATTACCACTGTTCTTGTTATTATTTATTATTATTATTAATTATTAATTGCTATTTATTATTATTACCACTGTTATTACTATTAATGTTATTATTATTTTTTATTATTATTATTATCAACAACCATCATTGTGCTGCTATCTTTATAGAAATGTGTATCTCAGTTCTCGTTCCCGTTCCCGTTCCCGTTTGCGTTCCCGTTCTTGCTTTTGTCCGATCCCTTGCTCACCAGCTACCTGCTACTTTGCACAGCACCAGTATCGTCAGTTTTCCCATCCCTTGGATTTCACACTCCCATTGCTAACACTTCTCATTTTGGTTTACCTTGAATCATGGTTAGAGCAGTTTCATGGAAGTACTATCTCATAAGGGTTTGGTCGTTATTGTTTCCAAAGTTGTTCTAAGTTTCAGCATTCTACTATACAAAGCGAAACAAGGGACCAGAAATCTCCAAATGCGGGGATTTACCGGGTGGCAGTGTGGTTAGCTGGTTGTCAGCATATCGGACAACGGCTATCATCACTGCCGTCCTGGTTTTCCTAAAGTTCACCATCTCTCTGTGCTCAAGAACTTAACCTTTGATACCAAGTCTCCTGTCGTTATTCATTTTCCTCCTTGTACTAATCCTCATATTTTCCATTCCTTCCCACCAATCCCTTCTTTTCCACCTCTTCAATTACAAGACACTCCCTATTTTGACCCTTAATTGAAGCGAGTGATTCGGTTACTTACTTCTCAAATGTATTCACACTCTCATTTATTTTTTAGTGCTTTGTGGAGACGTTTCAATTTCGAATTCTGTTGCTGAAGCGAAATGAACACTCCATGTAAGTTGTTTTTAAATGTATCGCCAGAAATTGATATTACCAAGCTGATGCGGTCAGGTCTGTGGTAACCCAGTCGTCAATTCGTTCTAATAATTTACCACAAGCGATGGATGGCATCGCCTTATCGTGTTCCAGTATTCTTGTAAGTTTTTTTTACTGACTAAATATTGTTTAGTTCGAGTTAGTTTAGTGGGAAATTTTTGCGAGGTAGTTAAATGAAATCGGCAGATATGCAAAGACGATCAGATTTGGTGTGTTTTGCGGCTTGTAATTGTTCATCAGCAGTATCTTCGTTTCTTAATCTCTGGTCGATATCGAGTTAAAGTATGAGTACAAGTTTTATTGATTTTGCAACGAGATCGCCAGCAAGCGCGTATGGCATGCCTCACATACATGCTGACTTATTTGCTTGGTTCACTTTCGTCTCTTACTTACGTCACCAATTCGTCCATACTGTTGTAAAATACGCTTGAAACTCGGTATCCATGGAAAATTACAAAAGAACATAAAGTGCAGATTCATTCGTTTTATTTTATATCCTATGGATGTGAAGTCCTTCATTCTCTATTTCTTCTCGCGAAAGGATTAAGGTCACGTAAAGAAATCGGAGTGGAACGAAAGCTGAAGAGTCGGTAGGCTACATACTATTTTCTGTTTGCTAAACTTCTGATGCAACTTTTCTTGCTGGAGAATCTATCATTGGATTAGTGAAGAATGGTTAGTATAACGGACCGATGGTGCAGAATTTAACGCAGTGCATGTTTCTTCCTGTGAATGAATGTGTCATGGTAGCGCTCCAGCGATTTTTTTTTTTGTATAAATATTGGAGATTTGCTGCAGTGATCTGGTGAAGTTCTTCCAAATTATCAGGTGATATTTCTAAGTAGTCATTTAATCAGAAAAAGTTGGGTGGTCTGTTTTCATAGTTTTGTGGTGTTAGATCACGGAAATCGAATTTCTTTTCGAGTCGTTTCCCAGATATTTAAAGGTAGCTAAGTGTGAATATATGGAAGTTGTGATGTCTTCCACAGTGCGAATTATTTAGCTTTCATTTCTGATCGGAGTTAGTGAACAAGGGGGAAGAAACAGGAGAAATTGCCATCATAAGGTTTTCTACTTATTGCAGTAGGGGAAAATGGGTTATCTTCACTTTGGCGGGTTGACCTCCATAAATTATGCAGAAGAAATCAACATTCATGGAGTCTATGAAGAACGATGAAGACATAGTGCATCGCGAACACTCAATGCTGCTTTTATTGGTAATAATTACTGCTGGCATTTGTATTGCAAGGTAGTTTATCATTTTGTCCGCTATACTTTTACTAATGCTTGTGATGAACTGTGCTTTGCCCGATATGTGCACAGAGATTTTTCGTTTGGATTAAGAAAGGAAACTTGGCTTTGTTATCATCCCGCATTTGTTGCTATGTTTCTGCCTTTGCTGGTGTTCCTCGTCCTCTTGGAAGAGCTAACTGAGTCGGTCGTCAGTGGGTGCCGCTGATGCTAGAATTTCTCTTCCTCTTGCCTATTTCTGTTATTGTTATCGCAGTTTTCAACAGGTTTTCTTTTTCGATTTTGCTGGAAAGAGCGTTTACATGTAGACGCAACACTTTACCGTCGTTTTCACTTTGTTGTTCCTCTTGTTGCTCCACTTCCAAAAAGGGTGCAGTGAGGTGGAAGGATTGCACAGCGCGGGCGTACTTTCTCATTCCGTGCAAATTGCGTCGGCTGCATAAATTATCAGGATTACGTTTGTGATCATTGGGTCTCACGTCACTATCAGTTCCTTAAATAACAGAGTTGAAATATTACTGGACTTGTTTTAGGTAGGTTATTACATCCCTTCAACTATCGCTTTCTTACTTTTCGAATAACAGTTCAAGTAGCGTCAAATTATTTGTTGTTTTAGAATTAACATTTTCTTAACTTCCATAAATCCTTACATTGTTCTGTGGAGATATGTTTAATCGTTTATGTTCGGTTGCAAAATATTCGCTTTAGCGGTGTAAGAGTTGCAGCACACATCAGTGTAGTAGTGACAGCTGGAGAAGTCAATTTTATATATTGAATATGACAGGATTTCAAAGTGTCCATTAGTAGGGAAGAAATTGTTGCTGTTTTTTCAAAGGTCTTTAGTTAAGATATCTACTATTTTGCTATCAATTATACAGTTTAATTTTAAGGACTGCTCCACAAAAGTGCTGTTACACTGTTTGGCATTTGCCAAAGAATATATAACTATAAAGTGAACAAGTCTGCAGGTTATTTAATACCAGGGTTTTTTTTCTAGTGAATTAACGCAGTTATCGACGCCAGAATAGTTTATCGTTGCGCCCTGATTTCGGCACTCAGACAAGATTTGTATGCCACGAGTTCCATTTTTATGTACTTCTTATAGCGAGGATCAAATATCATTTGAACTGCTATAGAATGTAGTGCACCACTTGTGGGTGTGCGAAATGACCTCGTCAAATTCATTTGATTTTATTTTACCTTCATTTTATGTCCCGCAAAACATATTTTTAATTTTTTCGTCATTGGTGGACTTGTGGTTTCGTAGAAAAGCAGGATGCCACTCACGCACTCCAGTAGTGCACATATTTTTGTGTTGCCTCGATTGGATCTCAAAGTTTAAAAAAACGGTAGGTTTTTTGAGAAGTAGACTTTTTTTGAGGTTAAGGAAGCTATATCGGGTAAGAAATGAGTACCAGTATTGTCAGTAGTCGTTGAGACTGACGTTGTTAGCACTTATTCCACCCGGCATTTTTGGTAACAAAATCGTAACAGGCGGTTATTTAATGTGATTAAATACATGTACCATTCCAGTAATTTGTTGAGAAAAGATTTAAGTTTCTCATTTGATTAGCGACAGGGATTTTAACCCTACATTTACTCAAGCTTAATTAATATAGACGAATTTTCCAAGTGCTCGTTTCACGCTGGAAATTCATTTGTTATGTTAGGCAGCTTATGCTTATGTTCCCCTTATTTTCTTGTTATTTCCAACGGATGCATTTCAATTTGTATCTGATCGGTAATATATTTTTTTTTTTTAACCGCCTTAGTACTTTGTAACGCGTTTCCCAATTCTTCCACGCCAAGAAGCATACGTTATTCTTCGTTATCTTGAAACTTTTTACTAATGAACCGATTTGGGATCAGTTTTCTTGGTTCCAAGTTTTGTTGATAGAGTGTGCTGGAGCGGTTCTTTGCGTTTGTTTATAAGTTCAAAGATATGAGGACAACCTGTCTGTTCCTTTTTTTTTTTTTTCGAATATTTGGGTAAAATGAGCAGGAGAGTTCAGTACTTTATGATTTCTTAGATTCCTTTCGTACGAAAAGAGTTTTTGACCAATTTCTTCAACTTACTCGAATGTTGGGAAGCATTCTTTTCCAAGCATAAAGATATGGTTTCTTGACTAATTTCCCGTGAAGAAATGGCATTAAGCTGTATTAGTGTCCTTGCTGAAGCGAAGGGCTCATTGTCCATTAAATTGTGCTGTTTGGATTGTCAACGCAGTATTACTTTGGAAGCATTCGAAAATTAGCCCTATAAAAACAGTTTTAATGGAGGTTATATGTGCTTGTTGATTGTTTGCATGTTATGTGCAATTTTCCTTCATATTTTTTCACTTGTTTTGGCATAATTACCTATAAAAAATGGAAAGTGATTCTGCTGGGAACGAAGCTCCATCTTGTTAAATTCATCAATATTATACTCCTTCAAGACATAAGTTGTTAGATTTCCTGGAAGTTTAACACTTTAATTCTTTCTGGGAGTTTGGAAGTTTAGCACTTTAATCCTCAAATTGACTATAACTTCTTCAAAATATGACCGTGTTTTTTAAAGTCATTTTGCTCAAGTTAACATCCCAACCAAATATAATGATCTGCAGGGAATTTTCAGGAAGGTGCTGTTTGGAATCACCAGGTGGGTTGAATGACATGACGCCACGCATCCGTAATACTCTATGATATTTGCCTTCAATATTTTACGAAGGCAAATGGTGCAAATCAACAAAGGTGCCTGAATAAGTAGTACTCCAGGTCTTATCAGTGTTCTTACTCAGTGTATTTTTAAATTCAAAAGTATGTCGAAATCGTGCTTTTTTACTTTTTAAACATCTATTTGTATTTGCAAACGGACCAGCTGTTGCACTGCGCTTTGTATACATGGTTGGTGAATAACCGTTCATTTTCGCATGGTTTTTAACCCTTTTTTCTCCTGCTGTTTTTTGATTGTCGTTTACATCGCGTTACGTACCCATTCTCCCTTAGCGTTGCGTGGTGGTAATTTTTTTAAACAGCTTATTCGCAACCAAAGTTATGGGTATGGAATTTGGAAATTTAGAGTTTCAAGTCGAGACTTAAATTAGAGTTAAAATCTCTGAAAATTATTAGACATTGGAGTATTGTTAGACACTGAACACTGTTGAACTTTACACTGGTCTCAGTCACTTTTGTTCGGAATGATCCAAGAGAATAGTCCGGATGATTCGACATTTTGAAACATGATTTTATGTAATAATAACGCATAGTGTCCTTCACTTCCAAGGGTATCTGTAAGTGGTAAATAGAATAGTAATCCGTTTAATCGTTGGTTAGAAGAATGGGATGAACGTTTTTAACAGTTCCCGATATCGCACATCCGTTTGCTAAGCAGTTTTGCTCGGTAAAAGGAACATTTCACCAGGGAAACAAATCATTATGAATGCAGTTTGAACCTTCTTCTTGGATAACAAGTTTTTTATCTGCAACTGAGACCAAACATTGTCCATATGTTAGTTTTGCTTTTATACTGTACTGTATTATACTCTACATGTATTATCACAACATCGCAATTGTTTGTTTGGCTTTGGTTTGTGCGTAATTCTGTTCCATTCAGTAGACGTTATTCAGATCCTCATCAAATGTCATAAAATACTTTTTAAAATGCCTATTCCGCCGCAACTTCGGAGTTTTAGGGGATTTATTGCAGTGCTACTTCGTTTATATGGAATAAGATCATGAGACCTGGCTAATTGGTTCATAAGATTCGTTGGTCAAGTCGTGCTCTATGTCGAGGTAATGACTCACGGTAAAAGTCAACCTTTCCATTTTGTCATGAGGCTCTCGTTGCTGGCAAGGAAATATCGGGCGGTGATAACAGGCAAGGCGTTTATTCTGTGTAAATTCATCTGAACTTACGAGTTGCGTTGCAGCTCCTCAAAAGTCACCGAGTGGTAGTAAGAAAGAAATAGCTTCACTAGTAGGAGTTCGAAAATGTTGCGAGATGAATTTTTTGAACTTTATAAAGAAAAAAATGAAGCACTACAGAAATAATTCGCTGAATGTTGACGATGTATCTTCGTTTTCCACCTCTTCATAATTACTGTTGTATTTATCTACAAAATGAAAACTCAAGTGTGATTTTTTTTGAAGTCGAGCTTTGAAAAAAAATGAAACAGTTTCTAAAGCACAGGAAGATTTTCTATTCAATTTTCTAATTTTCTATTCAATACCGACTTACGACTCGTTGGGACTTTGCATAACGATCTTAATTATCCTAAAGGAACATCATCCGTTTTTAGGACATCGGAAGGGATTATGAAACTGTCCCTATCTACCTACTCTACTATTAAACTCCAAGCAATCCTTTGGCAGCGAAAGAATACGTAGATCGAATATAGATGGCCAAGGAAATCAAATATTGGGAGGGACACTACCGGAGAAACTTGAGAGCTATATTATAGCAAGTTAAAATGAGAGAAAAAATCTCAATGGCTTCCCAGAAAATCAGTGGAGCGATAGTTGGAATTACCTGCAAATAGTTTCGAGAAGTAAAGACTGGAGCTATCTGGGATCGTTTTTTTTCGCGAAGGAGAGATTTCTCTAACCGAAAAATTTCTTGTTCTTGCTATAGCCAAAAATGTTACCCGTATTTTCGCTTGGCAAATTTTCGATCAAAGCAGTTGTTGTGAGTGCAGTTGGAAATGAATGTGTTATATTCTCATCGCTGGTGCTGATATATATACGTTCACGAAGTGGAATACCAGTTGTTTCTTGAATATGTTTCCGCAAACGCTGACGATAATCCGCGATTTTTTTCTCCTTCTGGACAATGATTTTATATAAGATTCTTCAAAGAAAAATCTGGATTGTTCGTAATCGAGTAATGAACTGTGAAAATACTAGAGGGATTTAAGAGCAATATCTTCATTTCAAAAAAAGTAAATTTTAAGATGAAACCAACATGCTCTATTTGGCACTTCAGATCGGCATTCTCATGAACAAGCTGTTGACACCTTTTTTGCTCTATTCCAGCAGCATCTGGATGATACAGTGGTTTAGTACCATCGTTTTTCTCCCCACTTTTAGGTATTCGACGTATATGAACAATTTTTGGCAAAAATACTAGACCAAGCGTTATATATGTACTCAATAAAACTGAAACTATGACAGCAATCAACACCTGTTTTTCTCCAGTCGCCGTTCTTAAGTTTTCAAAAATTTGCTGAAACCCAAATTCGAAGAATTAAAATATGAGGCGCTGATATAGTAGAGTGGTTTATCCACTATACCATACCACTTTAAATGTTTAACAACTCAATATACTGCATCGTAATACTAGTGTCTTCAAACCCTCTTATTCGTTTCTCTAGCTTAACCGTCAATGTAACATATACTAAGGATTTCAGCTTTGTAATTCAATCTTTGAACAAGAAAAAGGAAGTTTCGAAAGAATGAAAAAGAAACCAGTAATGCTAATAAAAGCAAAATTGGCATCGGATTGAGATCGAATAAGAAAAGTGACAATTGGTCCAGTTATTAGTGATAACACGGCGACGTTATATATAGCCAAACCAACGAAGCGTAGATCGTTCACAAAAAGAGGTTTTAAATTACGCGTTTCATATGCGAGGAAAAGACCGAGCACCAATAGCAAACATTTATAACCCATTACCAAGCCTATAAAAACGACACATTTTCTTTCTGTCTAAAAACCTAAATCACAAAAACATTCCAACTAGTACTGCAGCACCGTTATAACATTTTATGGAAAACATATATAATTAATTGTATCTCCAAAAGACAAAAGTGATAAAGTGTTGGAACATGGATTCACGGGAATTTCAAAGAGAAATCAGTAAAATGCTCGCTAGAAAATATAATAAATACAATTGTCCGCGACAAATATCAGAGCATGATGCTCCGCGGCCTTTCTTTTCAAAAGATATGTT